AAGAAATATAAAAATGAAATATTTGGGAAGAAATGAAATAAAATTGATTATTTCCTTGTTTTATTTTTTATTTGTATTATTTATTTCTCATATGGTATTACATGCATCATAGTTGGCAATAAATGTGGAGAGTGATGAAATAAAAATTTAAGAAAAATGATTTTTAAAAAGAAAAAGCTAATATTTTTTAGTGAAATAATTTTTGGGACCCTACCTAGATATTGGAGGACTTTTTAATAATATTTTTTATAAGAGAATATTATGTTGGATTTTAAGGATTATTATGAAAATCTCAAGTGAAGAAATATTTTTCAAAATTGCACCTAGATATTGAGAAATTTAGAAAATATTCTGAAACTAAAAATTTTCCTTTTATTCCTAACCAAAATGTTTTAAAAAGATTTTTTTACAAAAATAAAAATTTTAAGAGAATTATTTTAAATATTAGAATTAAAGCCAGTTTTATTAAAGCAAAAGGATCACATATTATCCATTAGTACCGTTTTTAAAATAAATGCTATAGGGTGCTAATTCTTTCTCATGAGTAACTAAACTTTTAAACTCAAATTTATTTTAGCAGAGCAAACAAAAAAATTATCTTTTAATAAGTTTTAATTAATTTTAAAATTTTATTAAATAAAAAAGATTTTATGTGACTAATTACAACTAATTAAAAAATATTGATGACAACTCTCTTAATTTTGAAATTTTTAAAATTTTTGTTGATCCTCAAAATCGTTGACATAGATCAATAGGAATGTTACTATCCTAATCACTATTTGTTAGTAATAAGTTTACTCAACTGGAAAGAAGTGACTATTACAAAACTAAGTTCTTAATGAAAGGCATTAATTGAGTCAAAAGAGTAAAAAAAATAACTAATAAAAAATTGTATGAATTTATTAATAAAGAGGCGAAAACACACCAAAAATGGACTAATTATTTAACTGTCCAAATATATAATGGTAAATAAAGAGTTTTTTCCTATTCTATGATAATTACAAATCTTTTTTCCAAAAATTAAGTATTTTTTGCCATGTCAGCACATAATGACCACATAAGCTCTTGACTTTTTCGTTAACATTTATTTTCTTTCTCCTTCAATTTGTTTTCTGTTTTGGCAGCGAACTCCCATGCCCAACCATATTTACAATCCATGTTAGATTGCTTTTATAGGTCAGATTTATGTACTTTAAAAGAGAGAGAGACTTGGAGATTTCTTTAATTAGATGAGATAAGTGGAAACTTGTTATGATACTTGCTTTTTAAATGTAACTAATAATATTCTTGTTGTTTACAACTTTATCATGAATTTGTTGTTTGAATCTATTATTTTACAACCTCGTCAACCATCATGTATTTGTTCTTTGAATCTAACTAACAATCCATATCTTGTCTTTTTTCATCGAATATGTTGTTTTAGTCTAATTTTTTTTTGTCTTTAATATGTTTCTTGATTATTACCCAAATGAATTCACTGATAGACAACCCTTAAGATTTATGTAAATATATTTAATTCAAATTTGAAGTTTTGAATTAGTTCCACATACATAGAAAAATAACAGTGGCTTTTTAGAATTATATATTGATTAAATTCATTGATGAACCATTTGGTTACAATCTACAAAAATAATCGCTAAAAAATTTAGGACATTTTCCTACCCAATAGGAATATGCTATCGAGTTCACTCCATGCTTTGCTAACTCATGCACTGCTCTATTTTCTGTTCGTCTAACATGAGATAAGTTACACTGTTGAAACTCTTTTACGTGCATACAAGCCTCATCAATGATGATGCCAATTGGGGATAGATCAATTTCATCATTTCTCACTCGACTTATCACTCTTAATGCATCTCCTTCCAGTATAACTTTTGTGAACCCATGTCCTTTGCAAAAACTAAAGCTTTGACTGCTGCCCAACTTTCCACGATCCAGGGATCCAAAACTCCCTGTATTTTAGCAGCTAGTGCCCCCAGGACAATGCCCACCGAGTCTCTTATAACAACTCCCACACCTCCGCTTTTTGTTCAACGCACCATCAAAACTAATTTTCACTAGAGGTGTAAATGGTGGGCCCCATACCTGCTCACCAGCAGAATCGAAAATAACACAGTTTTTTTAGCAAAATGTAAACGGGTAAACTAATACTCAATCAAAGTACAAAAATTAGAAAATAATAGGACTGGAAAATGAATGTGCAAAACTACAGGTGGTAGAGTGGAAGCTTTTGTAATGACTGTCATTTTTAATTGTTGTTTTAATTAGTTGTAAATCAGTTTAAATCTGAATCCTTTCAATGGTGGTTGATGGTTGGCCATCTTTGATGAACCAGTGATGAGAGTAGGAAACGAAAAAACAAAGAGATAAAACGTGGCAAACTTTTGTCACACAAATCATGACATGGCACTCACGTTAGAGTGTACCTTATTTAAGGAATAAAGATTAAAAGTATTTTAATTGGAGAATAAAAGATTAAAGTATTTTAATTGGAGAAAAAAAGTTTTAAAGTATTTCTTTGGGGTATTTGATGATAAAAAATGTATAATAACTTTTTTTTAAAGCTTTTAGCAGCAACTAAGATTATTTTTATCATTTGCATCAATATAATATATCAAATCAATTTGACAAGTTCAGTGTCATATTAATTCGGTATTGTTCTTGTTGTCCTCTAATAGTCTCCTACCGCTTACTTACAATTATGAAGGTTTAGGTATCATTAAAGTAAGTTGAACTTATTTATTTTCTCTCTTTCTTATTTTGTATTCGATCTGAACTTTTTTTATTTGGGTATCAAAAAATAAACATAGAAAACATACCTTACCTTTGACTCTAACTATTCTTCTCTTCTATATTTCTGAAAACACACCCAAATCAAAATTTGGCACCAACAATAATCTTGTTTGAGAGAAAATTTGGTAAATAAATTTAAAATTACATATTAAAATTTAATTACAAGTCCCATCTCTAATAGTTTAAACAATTTTGATTTGGGTGGGATAAAAGTTTAAACAATTGAAAAGTTTACTGCCAATTTCTTTTTATTTACTGTCAATAAATGTGGATTTTATCGCATGCTTATCCAATAATATAGAAAGATTGGCAACTACTGAAAAATGGAAGGCAAAAATTGTTTTTCCCATGAATTCCTACCATTTCAGACAAATCCAAATTAAACACAAAACAAAACTTAATTGAGAAAAGACACAACAAAAACTATGTTCTTTGCCCACTGCTTGAAAAACCATTTCCCAGCTGGATTACAGCAAATGATTTCCATTTTGTTTTTGGTCAAATTGTTTGTCATAAATTAATTAATAAGAGCCATCTTTTTGCTTGACAAAATTAAAGTCTGTTTGGTTTTAGAAAATAAAACCATTTTCTGCTTTTGTTTTCATGAAAAATAGAAAATATAAGTAAAAATATGTTTGGTAGTTAAAAATGAAAACATTTTTTAGAAAATGAAAATGCAAATAAGCCAAAATTAAAGAACAAAAAAAAGATGTTTTCATTGTTTTCAATGAAAGCGCTTGAAGAGGGTGAAAGCACGGGGACTTAGAAATTTTTGCCATTTTGAGACAAAAAAGCAAATGACACAGGTTCTAGTTGTGTCATCCATAAAAATGCATTTTTAATTTAGTTTTGATGTTGTCCCATCTTTTTATTATATTATTCTATCCCCCAAACAGAATTTGTTGCCATCTTTTTATCTTTTCTTTTTCATTGGATTTCTGTTGCCTTTTCTTCTTTGATATTTTAAAGTAAGAGGAAAAATTTAGTCATTTGAACGTTGAGAAGTTCTTTGAACAAGAGGTATGGACCATGTATTTGGGATTGGTAAGTTATCTAAAAAATTTCTTATAAAGAAAAATACAATCCAAATCCAATGTTTGAAATAAGTAGTGAAAAGTTTTTACATGAAATGAGATGAATTTCATTCAAAATTCCCATTTCAATGGAATGTTAAAACTTTTATTATTTAGTTGAATCCCCCATTTGGTAGGATGTTACTTCTGCATTTCCTGTTAAAAAGTGCTATGGCTATTTAAAAATAACATAATAAGAAACAAACAATTTACTCCTTTCAACATGCAGTAAAAAAAAAAAAAAAAGCTTAACAATTTAACAATTTATCCGATCAACTAAAACAAGTACAATGTAAGTTTGGACTCAAGAACAAACGTTTATTAGTGTTACTTATACAAATAAAAACTCTCTTTGCCACAATCTTTGCAACTCAAACTCACACGAAATGTAACTTCTTTAAGAAGAACCAAACCTATTTACTCAAACTCAATTCACTATTCGTGGCTCAGATAAACAAAGATTTCATAAACAATGGAAGGACAGAAAAGAGAGATAAGAGAAGACAAAAGGAAAAGAGGCTCTGCTCACCGGTAACAATGCTGGTACTTCTGCAGGAAGAAAATATATAGATGAAAATATATAGAATGAGATCTTTTTGGAAGGCAGGGAAAGAAAAAGGAAAGGGAGGGGTTTTGCATGGTTGAAAGAGTTCATTATGTTATTTAATATATTATTTTTTATTATCACTTTTTCCAAAATAGAGATACCAAACACATTTTCACAATTTTTATTTTTGTGTACCAAAGATGTTTTTTAAAATTCAAAAAATAAAAAATGAAAATTGTTTTCTGAAATTAAAAATACAAAATATTTTTTATAACTGAACGGAGCCTTAGCTTTTCAACTCGGGAAGGAGCTCAATAAAATGGCAGTGCTCCTGATTATAATAGTCTTTGTTGTCTCTGTAATTAATGAGTAATGACTGAAATTAATTAAAATATGTCATAAATCTATTAATTGCTTTTATTCAAAGTGACGAAAAGGTTTTTATGGTGGCGAACTGGAATTTTGCACTTGTAACAAGATTTTTTTGACACAACTTTTATTCTGATGTTGCTGCATATGCATTTTGTTTATCAAATTGAAAACATAAACAAATACCGATATTAGCATTTATTAAAATATTACCTTATAATTATAATTATGTTTAGCAAATGTTTTTATTTATACATTTAATAACAACAGCATTGCAGTGTAGCGTTGGCGTAACACTAGTTATTCCTAATGATTTGTTGAATCACATGATAAAGATATGCAAAGGAAAAAAATAGTAACAAAATTCTTCTTCTATACATTTGTTCTCTAGCTTGAACTTTGAATCAGATCAGACAATAAGTTTGTATGGATGCTATAATAACCCAGCTTTGATCTGTTCATACAATGCCCACAGTAGAATGCCAATCAAGGTGTCTCTGACCAAGCCTTTGAAAAGATTTTCGACCCAGCTATTAGACTCAGCTTCGAATGAAGTCTTCCCTGCAAGGTCTCTAAACCGCAAGTTTCCTTGATCCGATACTAGTGCATATATAACACCATTCATGTGCCCCTTTCCGATCACCCCTACCACTGTCTTGCACTTATTCACCGCTTTGCTCCGTTTTAGAGACCATGCAAGATACTGAAAATGCAGAAGCATGATTATATGTCACCGTGTAAGAGTATCATCTATCATATTCATAGGCCTTTCCCAAGACGCAAATTTAGGCAAGAAGATGAAAGGAACCTAAAAAGTTCTCTCCAAAAATGTTGCATTTATACAGCAAAGTTGAAATTATAGTAATTAATGGGTGGCAAAAAAAGGTTTTCTGGTTTAAGAATTTGGTCAAGTGATGAATGTGCAGTAATTAAGCTACAAACTTTAGAAGATAGATAAGATCAAGTACTTCATCCTTATATGTGTTTCAATCATCGGGAGCATATCAACTATGGACATTTCAGGTTAATTTCCGATTGTTCTGCTTGTACAAATTTTGTATACTTACAGTGTCTCGCTCATGTATAAGAGGCTGTGGGAGTGATGGGTATGAGAAGCTTAACCGCTCATAAAGCTGAAAGGTGTTATTTTCGTTATTCCGTTCCTGAAATGCAATAATGGTAGATAAGATATAAGATTGATTTTTAGAGACAGAGAGAAATATGTTTACAGATATATTCTTTTGAATTCTTACTACCTTTTGAATTCTTACTATCTTCTGTATGTAAATGCATATATGTTCTCTCCTTTCTAATATTTCCCATCCTGTGTGAATATAGTATCATTGTTTTCACCGGGAATGACTTATGCCTCATAGTCTATAACTATAGGAACTTGTTGAATATAATTGACATCTACACTTTGAATCACCCTGTTATTCATCAAACTCAAGAACATCATTTAAAAGTCATTTATGTATAGGTACAGACTTTTGCAGTTTTTTCTTAGAATAAAAGGACCAACGCCCCTTTAGAGTCTAAATGGCAAAGTTCTTTCAATACTTCACCAAATTCAAGCTTTGATTTGAAACATCGATATCCAACCGAAACCTATCATCTTCTGGATAATATATATCCATCCTAATCAGCTCACAATTCCCATTATCAATATATTTCTTCTCTGTTGCAACAATATGCATACATATATAGACCAAGGTAGTGCAGTACTGTACCGTTGATTGTATGCCAACCAAGGCTAGTGTGCTTGTAAGATGGATAACAAAAAATTGTATACATCTTGCAACCTAAGTGGTAGTAGTATATGCTACTCCAACATTAAACCACATGAAAGCTTACCATTAATATTAATTGAAAACATGTATACATTTCCTTGATAGAGAGTTGCAGAAAATATGTAGCATTCTAAAAGTATAGGTGTATTTTTTTCCTTTTTTCTTGACTGCATACACCTAGGCCTTATCTAAGTTAAATATACATTCAACCTTGAATGTGCTCAAACAAATAATCAAAATTAGATAATGAAACAAGAGATATAATCCACACGAAAATATAAATGGGTAAGGGTAAAACCTTGAGATCATTTCCAGATATATCAGATGATGGTGATGTTATCCCACGAATGACTGAGAACACTAGACTAAATTTCTCACTCCACTTCAGAGAATTCCAAGCCCTTTCAAGCTGCAAAAACAGATCAGAACTCAGCCTTATCAGTCACCAATCATGAGTAAGGACAACTGGTACAATAGCATTGTTACAAATACAGGTGCTAGTTTTCCGAATAAAGCTTATTAAAAAAAAAATTCAGTGTCTCTGGATCATATGTCGGGGAACTAAAATGTGCATACCGTTATTTCAATTGGACGATCCCCCAAAACTATTTGAGCACCAACTTCCTCAGATGCTTTTCTAGCAGCTCGGAACTGCAAATCAAAGAAAATTTTCCAAAGTTGAGTTACACATTTCTAATTTCTTTTTTGGAACAAGAAGCAAATTTGATGATTAAACTTATGTGACTTTGACAACCTCATCTCCAAAAGGACGGTTGACATCAGAAGATATTTTTGAAGAGAAAAGTGCCAAAAGTAGCCGCAATGCTAGGGCAGTTTGACCCCCTGCCATTTACATGAGCAACAAAAAGAAAAGAGTAAGCCCCTTCACTAGCATACCAAAAAAACGAGTACAGGACATTAAAGCTTACCCAAGTTTATGCTACGACCAACGGCACGAAAGAACCCAGTCCCACTCAAAGAAAACATATTTGGCCGTAATTGCTGCCCATTTCCAACATAATTGGATGTGTACATGATACCAGCTCTGAAAATGAACTCTGTAATAATTAAAGTTAAGATGTGGGTGGAATGAAGACTTGCTGACATATATCAGGGAGTGCTGACTCATTCCTAAAATCCATTAAGTTTATAGAAGCAGAATTTTCAATTTGAAGAAAACCCTTCCAATTATGTTCGACAAAATTTAGGAAAGATTCATACAGGTTTATCCAAATACCAGTTTATACGAATAACTCCACTAAGGTATATTTAGTCACGAATCAATAAATTCATAGAGAAATAAGATAAAGAAAAAGTATTTAAATCAATTCCTTTTGCTTTCGATCTTCTGCATCCTCCTAAAGGCATTCAACCGAATCCCGGTGGGGACTCTTCACAAATAGAAAGAAACCAGATTAACAGCTCAAAGTTCAAACAAAAATTCTACAAAAAAATAAATAACAATTCAAAACTTGCCTGCTTCTGCAGAGTTCGACCACCACATTGTCAGGCCTGACTGCCCTTACAACACGCTCCACGTCAGCAGCTGATTCCGGCGAAATATGATTAGTTCCCACCAGCCATATAGCCTCTGGTTCCACGAACTCGGTCCTCCAGGCAGGAACAGGACCGAACTGCCGCTTCTCAACCAACACCAACGTCCCATTCTCTGCCAAGTCCCCCAACTGAGGATGAGTTTGTCGGATTCTGGCAGTTGATTGTGTTAAAATATCTGCCCTGAAATTGAATTCTGGTGGTGGCGGTTTGATGGAGACATTGAAGGCTATAACAGGTTTTGTTGTAAGGAACTTTGGGTTTGAACAGAAGATTGGAAAGCTTGATTTGAGAAGAGTGTCCATGGGTGGGAGAAAAATAACTAAAAAGAATGAAAACAGCAACGCGTGTCTGTGGATTGTGAGTTAAAAGCTCAAAAATTAGGTTGTTGGTGACCTGGTGTTTGTGTTCCAGGTTTGGATAAGAATAAGATTAAACTACCTTTAACGGCTATTCAACTTTTGTTTTTTCCTTTTTTTTTTTTAAACTAATAATTCAAAATACAATACAACGATATAATATTAACTATAAAAATATATATATACAAAAATGATATCATATAAAAATTTAACAATAATTATATATATATTTAACAAAATTAACAAAATATTTTACATTTTCATATTAATACAAATTATTACACTTAATTTTTATATAAGATATTATATTAATATATAAATTTTAATATTTTATATGACATAAATATATGAATAGTCATATTTAATTTTTTTTACTTTTCATTTAGGAAAAGAAAGATTGATGAAAAATGTGGCTTCTATATTCATCAAAATATTTTAATTTTATTAACAATATTTTATAAGTGTAATATTTAATATTAATTTTTAATTATTTTTAATATGCTTTACAAATATATGTGTTATTCCGTTAATTTGTTGATAAAATTAAAAAAAATAATTAAAGGTTAAACTTAAAAATTACACAAAAATAATATAAATAAATAATATTAATATTATATTTCCATCCACTTGTTTTATGTTATGTTTTTTCTAAGATACCTTTATAATCAAGTATTATATAATTAATTGAATAATCAATTATTATATCATTACATAATTAATTCATAAATTATAATTTAATTGAACAATTCAACACAGGTAAGAACTTAAACCTAGAACCTCAAGATTCTATAAATTTTCATATTATATTTTATATTAATTCATTTTGGTCTATATATATATATATATATCATATAACACATAATAGCATAAACATGAAAAATCTTTTAAAGCAATGAACACGGACATTGCTCTTCATTATATTACTAAATTTTCATTTTAATTTTTTTATTGTTAAGATTTATGAAATAACAACGGCTAATAAAGTTTATAAAATTGACTAGATTCAAGCGTAAACCAACCTATTAAGCTAGGTTAATCGACTTTATCAAACTACCAATATTATAGTAATCCTCTTAACCAACCTACTTGGTTAGGCTAATCAACTATACAAATAAATAAATAATATTAATATTATATTTTCATCCACTTGTTTCATATTATATCTTTTTAAGATACATTCATAATCAAGTATTATATTTATATAATCAATTAAATAATTAATTATTATATCATTGAATAATTAATTAATAAATTATAACCTAACTAAATAATCAAATACATAAAAACTTGAATCTAAAACTTTAAGATTTTATAATTTTTCATACTATATTTTATATTAATTCATCTTGGTCTAAATGTATCATATAATATACAATAGCATAAACATGAAAAATCTTTTAACGGACATTGCTCTTTATGATATTACTAAATTTTCAGTTTATTTTTTTTATTGTTAAGATTTATCAAATAACAATGGCTAATAAAGTTTATAAAATGAGTTGATATTTAATAAACTGATAGTATATTATTTTTATATACTATCAATTAATAATAAGATGACACCTCATTTAATAAATAAAAATTAAACTTTCAAATCCTAAAAAATAAATATGATTAAATTTATTTAAAAGTAATTAATTATTAAAATATTTCTCTCCCCTCATTTTCTTATCGCCTCCCTCTTCAATATTTTGAAACCCTCGCACCTCGCTGACCATGTCTACTCCAGCCTTAATTAATAAAATCTGGAACTTGCTGCCCTGATTCCACAATCATCTGCAGTGCATATATCTTAGCAAAGAGTTATTTTCTTTTTTACCAATTTTGATCTGTTGATGACAAGGTATGCGAAAAGAAGCATCCCAAATGCACATCTAGTGGAAGATCCGTCACAGGTCGTAATGTATCAACCACAAGTGGTGCAATTGTAATGTTTGAAACAAATCGACCACCCATTACATCAACATGGACCCAATCACAGCCTGCCACTTCCACTGCCTCCACTGCGAAAATCTTGAAAGTTAAACTTCAAAAGCAAGCTCCAATTTGAGTTCAAAAGTTCATGGACATAAAATGAGACAAGAACAGGCAAAAGAGCTAAAAAGATAGATGGGGTTAAAAATACGAGAGAAGCAATCGAAATAGTAAGATTGGAAATGGGCATGAGGGTTTCAAAATATTAAAGAGGGAGGCGGTAAAAGAAAAAATTAGGAGAGAGTAAAATTTTAATAATTAATTAACTTTAAATAAATATAATAATATTTATTTTTAAGGATTTAAAAGTTTAATTTTTATTCATTAAATGAAAGATCATTCTATTGTTAATAGATAGTGTATAAGAATGATGCACTATCAATATATCAAATATGAACTCAAATAAAATTGATTAGATTTAAATGTAAACCAATCTATTAAGCTAGGTTAATCAATTTTATTAAATCATATATCATATATAATATTATATTATAAAATATATAAAAACTTGATAAAGTATGTCGAGTAAATGTTTATGTAAATAACTTATATTTTTTATACATAAGAAATTGCTTAAAATATTTGCTTATGTAAATATCTACTTGAATAACTTTTAAATTGTTACCAACAAAATTTAATTTAGATATATTCTTCTTTTAAATTCTAAATGAATTTTCAGATAATCTGGACAATATCTTTTTAAATTTAAAAATCTCAAACATAGATGTTTTATTATTTAAAATGGTTTTTCTAATAATCTAAATATATATGTTTTTAAATCTAAAAATCCTTAATGTAGTGATATATCTTTTTAAATTTAAAACATAGGTGTGTAGAATCAAGGGCACATCTTTTTAAAAAGAAAAATATATCTCAAATAGAATAATATTTATTATATATTATTTAAATTCAAATACCAAAAGTTCCAATAGATTAATAAATAAAAAATTTTGTTAAATAACATTTCAACCAATTTAGATTTTGGTTATGAAATAGATAAAACTACCCATCTATATTCAATATTGAATTCAACAAATAGAGTAAATTATAATAAAATTTTAAAATTTAACAAATTCATTTTATTTGATTCGAATTTTTCCAATTTAGAGATTTTTCTAAAATTTAAATTTCTCAAAAAATATATTAACCATTATAAATTTCATTATGATCCTTTAGTTTATTTTTTTAATTCAAAAACATAAATATTAATTGTTATGTTGTATTTAAGTTCGAAAGATATTTATCAATTTAAAATATATATGATATCTTATTTATCATCCAGCATCTACAAATGGTTTGAGGTGCATAGTTTTTTTTTTTTTTTTTTTAATTCAAATTACAACTTTTCATGATTTGTTTTTGTGCAAAAATAATACAATTCTTTTTTTTTTTTTTCTCTTAACACACATTTATTAACTTTTTCTTTTCATTTTTTTTTTTCAAAAATTGTTTAAAGATCACAAGCGAAATATGTAAATACTGCTCTTATGATTTAATTCATTATTCAACTATCTATATATATATATATATATATATTTTAAATAGCATTCTTCTATTTTCATTTTTTTAAATATTTTGATCAAAATCATAATAGCAAAGGTATGTCAAAGTTTTTTATGATTCAATTAAATTTTTATTTAATTGCTTTGAGAGAAAAGAAATTGACATGGTAATATATAGATCGTCCATATAATCTAATAGTCATATGATGTTAAAATTTTACATAATGTTGAAACCATTTCTTCTTTTTTGTTTTTATTACTATCATATTCATATTATTTATTTATTGGCATGAGAATATATTTTTCATATAATTTAATATTCATATAAAGTAAAAATTTTAGGTAATGTTATAATGCATTTTTTTTCACTTCTTTTTTTATTTTTATAATATTTTATATCTTGGTATCTACTTCCTTTCTTTTTTAGAAACTATATACTTATAAATTTTAAAATTGTATTTCAATAGAAAACAACAACATATATTAAAATAAAATTTAGAGCTGTGCTATGTCAAAATGGATCGCAAAGATTATTTGAACTATGATTGTTTTATTCCAAACATTAATTTAACAAGTTAGAGATATTTCTTTTTAAATTTAAAAATCTCAATATAATTTTTATCTTCATAAATTCCTTACAATTCTTTATTATTTGTTTTTTTTTTTTAATTTAAGAACAAAAATATCACTTATTATATGATTATTTTTAAATTCAAAATATATGTAATAATATTCAACAAAAAAAAAAAAGACAATGACTTAGATTGTATCAACATCTTATTTTATATTATATTTTAAATATATTTTTAGCATATAAATTAAATAATATTAATTTATATATTTACACATATATTTAAATAAATAAAATTAATCCGTGCATTGTATGAGTCATAAAACTAATTACCGATATTATGGTAATCCTTTTAACCAAGCTATTAGGTTAGGCTAATCACCTTTACCAAATTACCAATATTATAGCAGTCTTTTCCACTTAATTTTGGCTAAGCGTCACGTTTTATTTTATATTATTTTTTTATAGATTTTTTTAATTTTTTATGGTAAAGTTAATTAAGCCTTTGATAATGTATATATATAATATATCGATTAAAGTAAAATAATAATTAAATTTATTAATATAGAACTTAAAAATGTAAATTCAAAAACTTTTATATTAGAAAGAGATTAAGTTACACTAAAAAAGTTTTGCATTTTTTTTAACCATTAATTTTAATAGATCTTAAAAGAGAAATTAAACCATTTTTTCTTTTTTTTTTCCTCTTAATTCTCTAGTCTCTTTGATATATTAAAATTAATAGTTAAAAAATATAAATTTTTTTAATTTTACATTGGTATAAGTTGATCATTATCTTTTTATATTATATACTTTCATATTTTTTAAATAATATACAATATTTATCATTTTTAACATTTGAATCCAACAAATTTTGTACTACTTAATATTATCATTATTATAAATAGCGTTTCGCTTGAAATTGTGAAAAAATGTATGTATTAGCACTTTTTTTGGTATAAATTCTTCTTATGAAAATTGTCTTTTTTTTTTTTT